AAGTAGCTTAAAACAATAACTCTTTAAAAGTTAGATTTGTGATGTTTATATTTCGAACTAGAAAGTAAAATAAAAATTACTGTTTGAAGCATAAGTAATCAAAGGAAGGTACCATAGCCAAAAGCATATGCAACAATAAGCATCGTACGTATACAAACATATGTGCACAAAATGCCGAAACTTTGCTCATATGAAGACTTTTGTACAATCTCCATATTGACTGAACTGCACTGAAAATTTTTTTAGCTCATGCACTCAGACTGGACTGAACTCAAACTTTCAAGACCATGGACTGGTCTGGACTCGAAAAAAGTTTTGGATTCATTTGAACCGATGAATAATCGGTAAAAAAACATGTTGTTTTGTATTGTGAACTGGACTGGACTACTTTTTTAGAGTCCATGGACTGAAAAATCTGTTTTCATGGATTATATAATGGATAAAATATAGCAAGTGACTTGTTTTGCAGATTGATTTTTTTCGTCCGATAGCGCAGATCATAAGCAGCTCGACAGTGGAGTATGGTCAGAAGTTGTGGCAAAGTCAGAGGCTATACTAATAGTCTTCGATTTTCTCGCAAGTAGCGAGGTTTACAGATAATCATTTCGGCGGCATTACTAATATTACTGTGAATGATATTGTTTTTAAAAATTCCTAGCAAAAATATAAATATTTACTAGCAAAAAATGCATGAACAAACAGACATCGGATATTTTTTGCTCTTATAGAACAGTTGTTGTCCTGTGATAACAGGTCTCTTTTTTTATTTTTGAAAGTGAAGTGAAAACACTTCCGAAGAGAAAGAATACACACGGAAACAAAGAACTAATGTGAGGAGTGTTTGAATGATAAAGACAAAGAGTTTTACGCCTTATTCCAACTTAAATTACATATAAAAAAAAATTGATCGGTTTGGTCCGGTTCGGTTTGAACCTCGGAAAAAAAAGTACGGTTCGGTTCAGTTCGGTTGCAGAAAAACATGAATCGATCCCACCTCTGGTATCCAAGATATTTACATATAACTACTTTTCTTTTACTATACGTTAACCAATATTTGTCTAAATTTAAACAAAAAAAAGTGTTCTTTTAGAATACAAACTTTCTTTGATTATCCGATTCGTTTCACAGATATTTTGATTGTATTAAAATCTATCAATGATACAATTCTTTTTCTTCTTACATATATTAGTGTCATATTTACAAAACAATAAAAAACAAAATCATTAGATATGTCACCTGATGCATAAAAATAATGCATATTACAAATAAGCACTAAACGCTAATCTGTAAAAAAATATACAGTGAGAACAACATATGTTAATAAAGTATTTGATATTTTTTTGTTCGTGATCATCATAACACAAAATCGAACAGAAGAACTTAATAAAGAAGGATGTGTATAACTTGCACATGATTAACAAAAAAAAAATCGGAAATAAAAGTGTATTTTAAAAAGCTAAACGAGATTTATTGTATCCAGTAGATTAGTGAGAGACTATTTTACAAATTTACTGCTCCATAGAAAAAAATTAAAAAGTAGAAAGAATGTCGGCTATGCCTTCAGAATAATAAAACGACAGATTCTGTACACATTTCCACTTTTTTTTAAAAACAAACATCTTGTATGTACCAACATAAGCATTGTTGCAATAAGAGATTTATCTATTTTAATGATGAGCACGAAGTTTCTCAATTTCACTGAAAATAACTAACGTCGGGCCCAGATTAATACCTAACTGTCGGAGATGTACATATTGCATCAATAATAATGCTTCACCATCGATTTCATGTTTATAAAACATATCTTTGATCTGTTGTTTACCGGTACAGTTAAGGATAAATTCGCCAACATGTTCGATCTAAGAAATTATACCAAATAAGATAGATACATCTGAGCATTTTGTCAAATGTTTATTGAGCAATAATGAGTATTGGCTCTAAGAGAGTTAACATTTCTCTACATACCGTCCAATCTGTCAGAAGAGTTGGCAAACCATTACTAGCATCTAAATATGAATTATAAATAATATTGTCTTCATGATGACGTAGTTTTTCAATTTCATTTGATATAATTAGTGATGGACCTAATTTAATTTTTAAATCTTCTTTCAAATTTTCAGGTGTAATTAATAATAATGCCCGTCCATTAATTTCATTATCATAAAATTTTTGTTTAATTATATGACTATCTTTAGTTAAGCGAAGTATCAGATCGCTAACATTTTGAATCTAAATACAATCAGAGGTGAGCATACACATGTTACTGGCAAAGGTACAAAAATATAAATACTTGACTAATTAGATTTTTACAAACATTTTATGAATGAAACAAAATTCAATAATCCTTTCTATTTCCATTGGATTCAGATAATTAATACTGGAGCAATAAAGCAGAAAACAATCACTTACCGTCCATTTCTTTGGATCTTCTGGCAAATCATGATGAATGTTTAAGCTCTTTTTGAGATAATCATCGTTTCTATCATCATCACTGATGTTCATTGAATTAACACGTTGTTTGATATTTTCACTATCAATTTCACTTGACTGAAATTACAAATCACTTGTTAAGAACCTCCTCCTCCTCAAAAACCTATTACAATTACTATATACTGAATCGTTCAGGGAATGTTGGTTTGACTAAAGTACACTTATGATTCGAGGCTTCACCGTGTCAAAATGGGCATAAAGATTTAAACATTTTTCTGTCAAATAAAATGATGGAGAGCTCGAGTTAGTTTTCAATTACGAATAAAATTACGATAATCATGTATCAAAGCTAAATTTTTAAAATTTTTATAAAAGTGTTTTAAATAATATAAATCAAAAATTCAAAAATAAGTGTCTAAAAAGAATGAAAGTCTATGGAAAATTCGGCTCTGCGATCTTCAATTTAAAAGAGTTCATTTTTGTCTTTTCTCAGAGAAAACGCAAAATATTTTATCTTAAAAAGCGTAAATATCGTTTGATATCCGACATTCAAAAACTGTGTTTCAGAAATGGACAACTTCAGCTCTGGAGTTGAACTTATTTTAGTGAAACTGAAGTTGCGTTTTTATTATATCCAAGTTGAGTTGAGTTTAAATTTTCTTAATTTCAACACCGGTTTGAAATTTTTACAAATCTGATATTTTTTTTTCTTTTATCATATGAGACTTTTTCGCTCTGTAACATGATGTCAACATCTGGTCAAAGTTTATATATCCTGCAAACCAACTGCATCAGCATCAGTACAGAGAGTTTTCTTCTTCAATCTCATCGATATAGAATGACAAAAAGTACTCTTTCAAAATTAACATTGTGAAATGCAATTATGAATTGTTAAAATGATTTTCTTTTATGCGCACTCTTATAAACAAAAGCGAAATAAACAACTACTAATAAAATAAAAGAGCGGAAGACAAAAGAAGTGCTTATCGGAGTTGCTCATATCTGCTGTGGTTGTATACCACTATAAGTTTTAGACGTCGGCAGATTTTAATCCGTATATGTTCGCTCATGTGCGTGTGCATATTCAGACGTTTTTTCCTAAAAGTTCTACTTTTTATCTCGAAACATGCTGTATATAGCTTATCAGTGAGGAAGATAATCGTCTGTGTCGAACTAATCTAATGCATGAAAGCGTTATCTATGCTAGTTGAGTGTAGTTGTTGATGGAGGCATAAAGATTTTTGCTACATCTGTAAACATCACAACTGGATTCTTTCCCACTAATCATCTATAAATAACATATTTTTAGCTAAGATAGTTTTAGGAAAAAAGTGCTGTGACACATACATCATACACATATCGGAATTCTTAGCGTCGAAACCTTATAGAGACACATTACCGAGAAATGAAGATCAAAATAAAGAGTTTTTTTCCCTATAGGTGTTCTAGAAATCTTCTTGAGAACCGATTTTATGGATTGCTAAATACATAAGTTCTAATTTGTACTGAACTACTTTTGGAAAAATCGAACTTGCCGTTTTCAAGAAGGACAAAGGCTTTAAGATTAGAAATTATTTTCAGAATTATGCTCTTACTTTTGATGCTGTTTTATCTTCCTTTAATTCTAATGTATTTTCGCCGTTCATTACTAATTGTTTTTGTTCAACTAATTTTGCTACTTTTGTCGAACATGCGCGTGAACAAAACTTTTTCTCGCTACCATAAAATCGTTCGAAAAAGTCAAGTTTTTTACAATAATCACATCTTAACTGGTCGGATCCAATATCACTGTTATTTTCTTTGTCCTTCGAGATATTCACATTATCATGTTTTCCATCAGATACAAATGGTGAGTCACTTTCTCGTATTACAAATCCATCTATATAGTGTGATATTATATTATTATTTGGATGTACAATAGCAGATGGCTTTTCATTTTGTTTTTGAATAATATTTCCAATGTCTGTTGATGAAGAGGAAGATGTCGTAAATGCTGTGGATGATGAATTATTCGTTGCAGTTACTAAAGAAGTTTTTTGAACAAACGACGAGTCACTGGATGCCAGTTGAATAATATTTGGTATTGTGGTCGTTTTTGAAATAAGTGACGGAGAATAAGCTGTACTTAATGACAAAGGACCATGCTCATTAAGTAATGAAGGAGAGGATAACTGAAGATTTTTGAGCGGAACTGTTGTTGTCGTTGTTGTTAGATGATTATCGTGTGTATTAAAAGTCGTTGTTGGTGTGCTTACGACCGGAGTCATAAATGAATGACATGATGTTGTTGTTGGATAATTAAAATTATACAAAAATGGTACTGGATTGGAATTAGTATTGTTTGCTGAAAAAATATTCATTTTTGAAGCTGTAGGGGCTGTGATTGATGGAGAAGAATTGAACGATAAATAACTTGACGATATATTATTACTGTTAATTAGCGTAGGAAAAGTAATTTGTTGCAACACCGCTGGATTTAAGCATGATAATTGAGTCTAGAAAAAAAGAACTTCTTAAATACGCTTGCATATATTTTTTACATTAGCGAGATAAAACAAACATCATTCCTCAGTTTAGAGACATCTTGTAAGGTACATCCTCGTTTCCGAGGCTACCTTATGGGTTATTGCTACTTACTGCAGGAGGAACAGCATTGTGTGGAAATAGAAGTGATTCAGTAGGGTTGCTATTTGTTGTTAAAAGAGTTCCAGTGGAAGATATTGAATTGTCTGCCAATTCGTGGACTGGACGGCTTCTAATTGGTTTGTTTGTTAATGGGTCTCGTTCGTAAAGTCTATAGGATAGAGAAAAAACAACCTTCGAATGTACGCTTCAAGCAATAGTAAAAACGTATTTGTTACCTCGGTCGTCCACGTTTCTTCTTCGAAGTACTCGAACTTAAATAAAAGTTGCGTTATGTGAAAAGTCATTTTTCTACTTTTAGACAGATACCTGCTGGAACGACGATATCTTTGGGCTTTCCATGCTATTTTAGTTAATGATGACGACGTTTGAATGTCTGCTGAAGTTACAGTTGATGCAGGGTTAAACACTGAAATAAAAAAGTATAGTGAACTTAAAAAGCAAGATAATGTGCATAAATGCCCTAACTGAATGTATGATTTCCCTCGTTCGATAAATTAGCTTCTGTTTCACTCCCACTGAACCGACGCTTTTCACCAATAGCAGAGGATGATAATCGACGTTGTTCAATACGCTTTCCTTTTTGCTGATTGGTAGCTGAGCAACGCTGAAGAACTAACGGATTGTTGTTATTGACTATGGATGTCGGCACAAACTGATTGGTTGCTAGAATAGGTTGTGTGGCTAAGTTGTTTGCGTTGCAATCTAAAATAATAATTTTACATAAAAAAGGAATTATTATCGCAAAATTTGACCAAATTTAAATAAAATGTATTACTTGCTGCTGGAGCACTTAATGGATTCAATATTGATGTTGTTACGGGAAAATTTGCAATACTCGTCAATCGTTGAGCTGCTGCTGTTGAAGAAAATGCATTCATTGTATTCGTATTAGAAATAAGACTAGCTATAAGATAAAAAACTATGCAATAATCACAATAAAACTGGTTTCACAGTTCTATACTTTGTTGTTGATCTCTCTGCATTTGTTGCATATCAACTGATGTATTTGTACGAACAGTTGTGACAGTTTGAGATGGATTATTCATAGACTAAAAAAATATGAATCATTGTGATTGTGCAATTTAGATAAATTTTGTTTTTCTTGTCTCTCTGTTACTTGTTGTGTGGGTAGTTGAGTGACAGCAGTCTGAAAATTACTGAGTTGAGGCATAGCTTGAGCAGATATGGGAACTAAATTGAAGCAGAAAATAAATATTAATTCATAACAGAAAAAATAAGGAGAAAACAATACATTTGACGGTGTGCAGTTTCACCCTTAAGAGAAAAGTTTGATCGTACCCGTTGCGATCCCGTTATTTTGACAGTGGGCTTGTTGACCATTAGTAGTTAATATTATCGAATTTTCACTAGGGATTGTCGATTTCAAAACCTGACCATTCTGATCAACAAAGGTAATCGGTGCTTGGCTAACACTTGGCACAGAGAAGAGCTAGAAAAATATTGAGGATATAATATTTTTGTATATAAAAAATAGGAGTCCAAAGTTCTGATCATTAATTTTCTTTCGTTTGGTTCATTAAAGACCATCAGAACGTACTTGATAATTATTTCCATTGGCTACTAAATATGTAGTCATTGTTTGACCAGTTACCGATGGTGGTTTATTTATTTGTCCATCTGGAAAAAATACAGTATGATGGTGATTAAGTGAATTAGCATTCGAAACTACCCTCACTTGTCTGTGTTTTGGGATATAATGATGTAACTAAAATCGACAAAAACGTTTGTTCGTTTACAGCTTTACATTCAGAAAACATACCTAATTGATTTGGAAATAAAAATGCCTTTTGGGGTTGAGGTAATATTGTCGATGATTTTGATAGTGGTTTTGATAAAATTGTTGCTTGTTTAGTTGGAGAACGACTGATCTGTTTTGTTCCTTGTGATGTGCGTGGACCCTGCAAATAGTTTCACAATCTTGAACAATTAAAAGGTTTGTTTTGTTTCATTTACTCGTTTTATTTGTTCTGGTGGCGTTGATTGAACAGAAGTAGGTTGAGCAGCCCAGCTAAATATACATAAAGGTTGTATCCAAAAATCTAATATTAAAGTGATTTATTTGCTACTAAAGAAAACTTACGGTACGGCAATTAGTTGAGCATAGGCAGAATTTGCCTGTTGTTCTCCTGTCGTATTGTAAATTGTATAATTATTCAAATTAGAAATTGTTGACATCGCAGCTGTTGAAGAAGAAGGTAATGATAATTCTTGTGCAAACTGTCTCTCCATTGCTGTTGATGATATGAGCTTATAATTTTGACTTGCCAGATGTGCCAGGTCACTATAAGATAATGACTACTGATTTTGCACTACCGGAGAAATGTGATGTTCTCCTTGCATAATCACATTCGAACATTATCTAATCTTAAAATGAAATGGAATCGCCTAAAAGTCAGATATTACCACTTTTCCTATTGATATTCTAATCCTATGCATAGCGCACTTCTCGGCGGTTAGAGTATTCTGGTTTAGTATTACAGCAAATAAAAAAGTTTAACGATATTATCATATAACAAAGTATGGTGACATTATAGCTGGTGTTCCCCATGATGAAAAAGTGTTCCACCATCTGACACTAATTTAGTGTCAGATGGTGGAATACCTTACAGTAATACACATGGAACACCTGCTATAGGAACACCCTTGCGCAGACAAGCAAGAGAAATGTCCATGGCATGATCATTCCAACTAAGATCGTGCGAAACAAGAACACCAAGATAACAAACAGAAGACACAACAGAGAGAGGAGCACCACTGAGATACAACTGATTACAAACATAGAGAAAGAGGTTGAAAGAGAAAGGAAGCCAAGAGCATTAAGAAACCTTTAAAGATATGAGATTGGAAGAAGGCCAGTGAGAGACAGGATTTATATAGTTTTGAAAATGAGAAAATTAGAAGAGTCAGCGGCCCAGAGCAGCTAATTCTGTACAAGACGAGGTAAGAGTGAATCAGTGACACTGCATGGAATATATAATATAAAGACGATATTATTTTATGAGATAGTTGAAAAAATTATTACACGCATTCCACTGTTCCAAACGCTACGAATATCAGTGAGAGTTTTACACTTTTAACAACTCTGGCTTCGTTTACTTTCAAACGGCTAATTCACAGGACAGCCCCCATACATTTTTCATACCTATTTGACATGGATTAAAAATGTTCAATCTAAACCAATGAAGAGTGAGCGTATTTGAAACTATGGTTTCGGTGACTAGAGCCTCTTCTACACTATGACGATCCTGGAATTTCTCGAAACAGTATTATACTGTAAATTTATCCTTCACACAAGTGGTTGGCAATGTCACCCACTTATGTGCGCCATGGTCAACCTAAGCGGGTGATTCTCCTTTGTTCAAACACATCACTCGCATACAGAGGTTATAAAGTGCACTCACAAGTGGGTAGCACATCATCTTTATAAATGGTTGAGATGGAACGAAATTCACCCACTTTGCTTATGTGGAACGTGAATGTACGCAGTACATACATACAACAGTGTGAGAAAAAAACTGATTGATACAAGTGGAATTAGTGTACAATAATTGGTTAACTTAATGAGCCAGTGAGTGATGAACTAATCAAAAAAATTCATGTCAGCGGCGAATTGGTTGAATGAATTATTCTCATTTTGATATTATACAATTCTATAGACGACGTTAATACCTCTGACCACAACATGATGTGAATATATCCAGTATCGACTGTGTACGACATCTATTCCAGTATTTCCAAAAACGAAATGGTTTTTGACCACCTCACTCTTGCAGCAAGAACAGATCTCTGTTGGTAGATCAAAAATCAGTATCAGTAACAAACAATATAAAAGGAACTAACATATTGCTATGTTAAATTTTCGGATTGTGAAATAGTTTCCAGAGAGCCCTCAGAAAACCATTTTTTGAGAAATAATTTCAAAAATACTTTGCTTAAGAAAAGATGCTGTCAAGTCTCTGAAATCGAATGATAAAAATCGCAAGTCTCTAGCACTTTGCGTTTAAGATTTCTTCGGAAAACAGTCGCCGATGCTACTTTTTAACGACGATAGTAGTTCAGGTCACCGTGTCTATATGGTCTTAGGACTTAAAAGTCTTTTAATTGTCACTGTTATTAAAACTACTATCACTATCACTTCGATTGAGTTTCCGCTCCTTGGCTGTGAGTTGTTGCTCTGGCTCGTCATTTTCATCTAACGGTTTTCGCTTAGCAGTATTTTTATCCATCGATATTCGCGTACCCGGGTCGAATTTGCCCAGTCGGATCCTTTTAATTCGGGTGATTTCGGATCCGGGAACCAACCTGGTTCCGGACCAGAAATTGACAGATCCTCTGATGTGCACTTTATTTTGTTTTCTGTCTTTTCTGTGCGCTTAATATATATGCACCGTTTTATTTCACGACAGAAGCATTTTAAATACGACACTACAGAAAATGCAACATGAGAAGTTGTTCTTCTCAAGTTCTTAACACCATCGCTCACACTGTTCAACGGACGTGTTGTACACCTCCTAGCTAGTGGGCTCTTCCACTCTCTCGAATGAACAGCGAAAAGAATCGCTAGAAAATGGAAGAAAAAGTTTAAGGCTAGTTTTAGCCTTAAAACACCTGAAAACTGATCACATTCTGCCAAATCGAGCGAAACCCGATGTCTGAAACTCGAAGGATCCGGTTGGATTTTTTCCGGCATCTTCCGGCACGGGTTCCGAGCAACGGATTTCCGGCATAATCAGGTACGACTGCTATCAGATTTTACCGAATTCCGGCATGTTATAGTTTTGGATCCGGCAGGTTCCGTCAGGATCCTGACGCCGGAATCAACGACCTGGGTATCAAAACATTTTAATAAAGACAAATTTTTCTTAAGAAACATTAATTTGTTAATTTTTTCTGTTTGCAATCGCATTTGACGCCCTCATGTTCATCGATGATTGCCGTTGAGCTCAAATAATCATTACATTCTTTTTCTCGCGTTGTATTATTGTTAGTTGGCTGGTCAAAACATTGTACTAATATATCCTTTCTCGATGCTGTTTTTGTTGATGATGAGATTCGGACAGATAAGACAGTAATAAGACGGTTGTAGAATCTTAAGATTGTTTTTAAGCTGAATCGTCACTTTAAATTTTACCTGAGTATACCCTAGTGAAACTTCTTGTACCCTAGATCTTGGATTAAGAAATGTCACAAGATCTTGAAAAAACACCAAGAAGTCAAGATCTTGGATTCTTGAATCTTTCACTCAAGATCTTGAAACATCCTGGCTTACTTCACTGAAGATCTTGGCCAAGATCTTGAGTGAATCCACTTGAGATGTTGCAAGAGCTTGAATGACAAATTTTCTTTACATTTTCTTTTTATTTATGACAGTCGTAGTCATTAGATATATGACCGTATAGAGTCGTATATTCTTCCTTAAACAACTATGGTCAAGAAGGAAAAAATTCTAAGTTATTCTAAATGTGAAAATATTCGCACTTATATTTACACAAGTGTGTAAAACAAAACAATGATTCAAGAGATTTCCAAGATCTTGGTACAAGAAATTACAAGCTGTGCAAGATCTTGACTTCTTGAAATTTCTTGAATTCTTATATTTTCTTACCAAGATCTTGAATCAAGATCTTACTGAAAAAATTCAAGAAGTCAAGTTCTTGGTTACAAGAAGTTTCACTAGGGTAGGCTTTTTGTGTTTTCTAGTGTACTATTATATTTCACTCGCTTGTCAAAACGACACAACTGGGTTTACTAGTGTAAACAGTATAAAGAGACATTGCGAAAGCCATAACACAGTAAGTTTTTATACTTCGGAAATGAGAAATATTATTGACATCCTATCCTAATTCGTTTCGGAATATGCAGTCCTCTTTGCATCTGAGTAGAAACGAAGTAGGCTTATATGTTAAATAGAACAAGTTTTCCAAGTGGATTTATCTCTTTCTGCAGTCGCATTATGTTTGTTTTATTACAAGACTCAATAAACGTTTGTTTTTTTTATCTATTTCTAGAGGGACCAGATTATGTGGCTCGCAAGCAAATTGGCAAACGGATATGTGCCCGGTTACACAACTGCGCAAGAAGCACTGAATAGGCACCAGGCACTGATTGTAAATAAAACTGAAAAACTTTCTTTATGATGTTTTAGATTAACAAAAAAGAAAAGTGGTATTATTCCAACCATCTCATCAGGCGGATACCATAGACCCGATTACAGGCTGTACGATTGTTTTTAAGCTGAAAGTTCATTTTAAATTTTACCTGAGTATATGCTGTTTGTGTTTTCTAGTGTATTTTTGTATATCTCCCGAGTGTGCCGCAGATATAATCACAACAGAGTTTAGCACTTTAACAGGCATTAATAAACACTGCAAAAGCCAGAACACAGTAAGTTTTTATACTTCAGAAATGGGAAATTATATATTTGACATTGTATCCTTTTCGTTTAAATGTTTTGTTTTTCTTATCTATTTCTAGAAGGACGAGATTATGTGGCTCGCAAGGAAATTGGCAACCGAAAATGTGCCCCGGAATGTTACACAACTGCGCAAGAAGCACTGGACCGGCACCAGGTACTGGTTGTAAATGAAAATGAAAAATTTTAGAATGTTAGAATATTCATTTTTCCTCGATTTTAGGAGCATCTGACGTGGTGAAGCGGCGGATGTTTTTCCCTTTTTTTGTTTTCATTGTATTATAAAAACCACCCACATCATTTGTTTCGTTTTTGCACTGACCACTCCATTAGAGAAATGTTCGGAATCGTTGGAAAATCTGAGAAATTCTATAGCACAAAAGACACAGCACAACTGATCCAACTCGCGCCGTCAGTTACTCATAAAGTGAAAGCATAGGTTAAAAATCAGATCAAGATCTTACACGATCTTATAAAATCTTACGGAAAATCATAGAAACGGATTCGTCTTATAAAAATCTTTCCAGAATCTTACTATAAGATCTTACATCAAGAATCAGTTTATATGTTTCTTACAGAATCTTACAAATTCGTATACGAATCTTACGAAATCAGACGGAATCGTACAAGAATCTTATAAGATCTTACAACAAGATTCTTTGACCTGGGACTGTCGTGAACTTACCTATCCTTATTATTTGTTATAATCTTTTCTTTGTGAGGTTTTAATCACTCGCATATATCCTTTAGAAAACAATTTGGTGAGATAATGATCGTCTCACTTCACTAATGATTTATGGACTTTTTATTCATGGTAAATAAGCAACCGTAACTAAAATTTGTGGATTTGTGTAAAACAGCATCAGAACGTCACTTGTTGTAACAACACTTATGAAAATACTAGTTTATATACAAACGTTGTATTTACTGATAACGAATATAGTCGTGACATGACTCTTCTCCGAATCGATTTTTCAACGAAAAGACTCTTCCGTGAATTGCAATATGGTAGTAGTAAGCAGCTTGAGAGTTAGTGTGAAAAGAATTCTTTCGCGGAAAAAGTTCTTGGAAGAGTCGGTGTATCGAATATAGTTTTCCTGCTAAAGAAAATAAAACAAACTATTGAAACAACCGTTTAAACGCACAGGTGGTCATTTCAATACCTTTTCAATATGTCAAAAATATTAGGCGTAGAGAAAAATGAAAAAATAAAGATTTTAATCGGAAAACAACGCTTTATTGTCAATAAATTAAAAATTTAATCCTCACATCTACGCATTAGTCTCAATTATATACTCGATTATTTCACTAGTTCGAAAACATATATAAATATACTGTTGTAACTAAAGGAAAATAGTAATAAAAATAAAGTAAAAATACTGTTGCTTAAAGGATAAAAATATGCTTTCTGCTGCATTGGTTTTCTGTACCATCGTTACATTATGTTATGGCTTTCCGGTAAGTTTGATCTCTTTTCGATGATAAAATTAGAGCGCGAAAGAATTTTAATCTTTAATTATCGAACAGAAAAGAGTTAGTCCAAAATGAAACGATAAAAATTCACTGTTTGTTAAGCATCAAAATGAACAAATTCATATGCGTTTTCTCTTTTAAAATTACCCATTTGTATAACATCTCATTGCTGTAAAACAACCGAAATAACTGTCAGATGAGAATAAATTAAAGTCTTACCATATTGTTGCGTCATCATTTTTTCAAGATATTTAAGGGTACCCTCTCCCTCTTTTTTGCAGAAAAATTGTCATTTTGAGCTGAGCATAGTCTTATGTAGAGGAAAGTATGGGCTATACAATGAAAAACCGTTTTTTTATATGGGATTTTCAGTCTTTTTCGTATATCTCGAGAAGGAAAGCATTTTTTTCGAAAAGAATAAAAATGAACCGGAGATAGGATCTGAAGTATCTGTGGTAAAAGTTTGAGCTCGATCGGACCATTTTTGGACCATAAAGTGTGCCGATGAAAACTGGAATTTTCCAGAAAACCCATAGAAGAACATGTCAGAAAATTCTGGGCAAAAATACATCGATTTTCTTTTTCGATGTTCTATCTCTGGTATAAATTAGAACCCGATCCGATATCGGCTTTCCTAGTTTCCGACGGGGTAAAAAAAGAGGGGAGGGTACCCTTAATTGTCCATTGAAATTATGATAAAACGCCGATGATATTGTGAGGACTTGTGGTACCAGTAGTTTCGGAGAAATATTGGGTTCATGTTGATCGGCTTCTTCATTTTTTTCAACGTAACATTTAAAATTAGCTTCATTTAATAGCGATGTTGAATGTGAATGAAAAAGACGCGTAGCATAGATATTAAGAACCAAATCCGACATATATATACCATTCAATATGTTAATGAAAATCACTATTATTGTTTCCAGTTTTATCAATTATTAAATGACTAATACCTAGAAAGATGTTAGAAAATTGCTGTTCAGAATGAATAATGACCACCTTTGATTCTATCTAGCGAATATAGAGAACACTAAGTTTAACAATTTGATGTTCTTGCTGAGATTTTACAAACTTCAAAACATTTTGTTTTTGTTCTTTTGTCTCTTTCAATTTGTGTTAAGCGAAGAGCAAAACAAAATAAACAAACACATCAATTCCGAATAGGAAATATATGATCTTTCTAAAACATCCTTCGTGACATTGATATTTAAGCAATTTGATCTTTCTCTTTTCACTTTATGATATAATACGTATATTCTTGTTAAAGATATGCAATTAAAAATATCAATTTCTTCCAGGCTGGAGTAGATCAAATCGAATGGGATACGAGTGCTGAAGAACGAGATAAGTCACGTTCATCCCACACTAGAACTTATAATATACAACTCTCTTTTCTGTTTTTAGGTGGTGGTTTCGAAGGCGATATCATTCTTCAAACTGACTTTAGAGGCGTTGCAAATATTGGACAAGCAACAAGATGGACGAGTGGTCAGGTCCCATACGATTGGTCAGCTGTTACAGGTTCATATCATACGCAGCTAAAACATCCCAAAACTAATATATCAATTATTTATTGTTGTTTTCATCCCTTTATAGATAAAAAAGATCGAGATTCAATAAAAGCTGCTATGGATCAAATTGTACGTGACACATCTGTAAATAATAAAGCTTGCGTAGGGTTTCGACCTAAAACAGCAGCCGACAAAAATTTTATAACAATTAGATATGGTACCGGCTGTAGTGCAGCAGTAAGTTCACTTTACATTTTTCTTTTTGTTGTGTGCTATACGTTATCGTTGTTAATCCTAGGTCGGCCAGAATTGGTCTGGATCAAAATTCGTCACATTACAAAAAAATGGTTGTTTTAGTAAAGGCACAATTATGCACGAATTAATCCATGTATTAGGTAAGTTTTAAAACTCCTGTTTATTAGTGTTAATAAAATGTATTAAAAATCTAGGTTTTTGGCATGAGCATACAAGTCCAGATCGTGATGCATACGTATCAATCAACTATGGCAACATTGCAGCAAGCAACGTATGTACTTAAACTTAGTAAAGAACGTATTTTCTAAAAACTCGATTTTGCGAAAGCCAGAAAATGGTAATAACCATTTGAAGCTAATAAAAATCAATTTTTGATGGATTAATGGTTCTTTAAAATATTGTTAGACGCATACACGAAAAACATCATGAAAGGGACGGGCGTTTTCATCTTGATTAAAGGAACATTTATTTAACTTAAATTGAGTTCAACTAACTGCTGTCGATTAATCGGACAACAGAGCGCTTCGACTAAAACATAATTTCAACCAGTTTACTGCTTGATGAGTTTACCTTTAACTTAGCTAACCCAGTTGCAAGCGACTGCTGTAGATTCCCTTGCTTATTTAGTTTTTTACATCAGCTGTACTATATGCACTATATCAACGTAGGCTTCTTACGAAGATGAAAAATAGCCAGAAATTCACCCGAAAACTGACAGACACTTTTGTAGTGTTTTAACTCAGGAAGATATCGTTTCCTACATGTAGTCTGAGTTGGTGTCTTTTATCTACATTACAGACACATAATTTCAATAAACGTACAACTGGTCAAACAGAAAATCTTGGTCTTGGTTATGATTATAGTTCTCTAATGCACTACGGTTCAACGGCGTTCAGTACAAATGGTAAACCAACCATCGTCGTCAAAAAAGCGGGTGCTACGATTGGACAACGAGGTGGTTTAAGTGCAACAGATGTGAAAAAAATTCGAAAATACTATGGTTGTAAATGAATAAACATATTTGTATTGCTAATTTTTTTGTGAATATCAAATATTATCCTTGAAAAAATACACCTACCATAACAAAGACACTTGATAACTTGTTGCTTTAAAAGAATCCAATGTGTATAGAGGAAAGTCCAGTGGTTCCAACGAGAGACCGAATCGGGTCAAACTGATTGACCCGGACCCCACTAGAACGTTTTGTGATCCAACTCCAAATTACTTTTCCTTGACCTGAATGAAACTCGAAAAAAAATTTTGTCGCCCAAAAAAGGAGAGTAGCTTTAGATTTGTCGGGTCCGGGTCTTATTAAGTGAATGATGTATTCTGAATTATCGTTCTTGATCATTAATTAGATACATGATATATATATATCAGTTTGATCTATGCTTTAGCTATCGCACAATTAAAATTACACAATGTATGTATGCCAAAAATCAATGCAAACACATATTTTTTGCAATTAAACACTCAAAAATTGCCCTACAAGAAATTTATTTTACACTTCTTGTTTTCGCAAAATGTCTTTTTTCTTCTGTTTTACAGCATCTTGACTCAAGAGCTTGCACTAGGGTGCTTTCTCACCAGACGTTCTACCCTCGATTATCTATAAAAAGGACCCTGTCGGGTTTCAACAGTATGTCGAACCAGAAAGTTATATATCAGGTTTTGTAGAGCTTCTCGCGACGGTTACAGAGATATGGGTGTCGCCATGTTTTTGGTCTTTAATCGGTATTAATGCAAGAGGAAGAGTCGAGATTCGGCAACGTAGTACAATGAGATGTTGTCTTACCCATATCCTTGTAAAGCAATGAAAACTGTATAAACTAGTTCGGTAATGGGCAATAGAGGCTAGTTCTTCTAGAAAAAAAGAGTCGTTTATGAAAAAAATCGATCATACCGATAAGACACGTGCGCAGTAAAATAACTGTAAAACACGAAAGATATGCAGAGATAAATTCTAATTTTGTCGAAAACTGTGTGAGTATAAGGTCTATCTGCCGCATTCATGTGGAGGTCTGGATCCATCTGCGTCTATGGAAAAAAAATCTATTCCAAAATAGGGTATATTTTGGACTTGAACTTGGTTTTTCTGATCTGATTTACTTATCGACCAGTTTTATCGCCAGATTTATAATCTACGAACAAAAATGAGTCGGACGGAGTATTATACATATGGTCAAAACACAAAAAAACTTTTTCGGGACAAGAAATCCTAAGGAGGATCTTGACGGAGCCTGTCTCTCGAAAAACACATTTACCGGGCAAGTCACATGTGGTTTTATAGAGTGTTGAATTCTGAACGAAATGCACCCTTTAGATTCAACTTATGGTACAAAGGGAAAGTATTCAGTCTCATTTTATAACTACATGGTGTACACAACTATATTCAACGTCGAAGGGTCATTGACGAGAAAATCTTGCCAGAAAGGGATACAAGAGTCCAGTTATACCCGAGTAGATAGCATTTGAAATTCTCTACAAACTGAGCTATTGTCCATCCAAAAAAAGAATGGTATATGACTGTTTTTTGAATAACTTTCGATAGGAAAAAGCTAAAGAGCTTCAATTTTCACCATTCGAAAGAGGAGACTTGGGGACATGTTTTCATAACCAAAACTTTTCCCAGAAGAGCTTTCTGGAACAGGTTTCGCATCAGAACGACTTCAAGATTTCAGAATGTGGAGTATTTAAGCTATTCTTTATCCTGTTTATAGGAAATCTAAAAAGAAATCTCACAAAACCCTACGGTTTTACAAAGGTTTTCTGAAAAACCGAGCTCCAAAACTACGCCTTTTCTAATTTTTCGATTGTACGATCAGGTTTAGCGGAGGAAATTAGCCATATAAATTTTAAGTCGTTCTGATGTTTACTGAGTGATTAGCGAATTTTTTAATATTAGGTGAAAACAGCCTGAAAACACAAATTTTCGTAAAACTCGCTTTTCGGTAGAATTTAAAACTTTTCTAAAAACAAATATTGCCACAAGACGCAGCGTGGTCGATTAAGCATAGTTCATCCGTCTTGAAGGCTACCAATCGTCACTGGGTGCCAGTCCTGGGATTCGTAGAAAATCCGATACAACGCCCGAAGCGTAGAAAATCAAGGTCTCACTTGATCCTCAATTTGAAAAGGACACTCTGGGCTATCAGTCTGTGAAAACAAATCAATACAATCCTATTGGAAAATTTTTACACGCGAGCTAATTTTCCAAAGATCCCTTGGAAAACCTGTTCCAGAAAGCTCTTCTGGGAAAAGTTTTGGTTATGAAAACATGTCCCCAAGTCTCCTCTTTCGAATGGTGAAAATTGAAGCTCTTTAGCTTTTTCCTATCGAAAGTTATTCAAAAAACAGTCATATACCGTTCTTTTTTTGGATGGACAATAGTTAGAATATCTTGACTAGTGGGATCAGTCACCAAAGACATTCAAAAAACGCGTTGGATTACGAAAAACAGCTGCAGAATACTCTTTTAGAAGTCTTTTCTGTCTTAATGATGTTTCTCTTCAGATGATGTCTCTCTTAAGAATATTGAAGAATATTGTGTGAATGAGAAATATGTACTTATATGAATCATATAAATGAGAGCAGAGGAAATTAAAAGAAGAAAGTTGTTCTGTAGAACTAAAACAAAAATTTGTGAATAATGTTAAAAGGTACAGGATTTCCAATCTCTGTTCATGATAATCCCTTTCACTTTGTAAGTTCCACTTGCTTGTTAGTCAGTACTACGTGTCAGAGGTGAGTAGGACACGGGGAAATCCTGTCTCGCGAGACTCTGTTTTTTCTCAGCGGCACTTCGTCATCGTAGAAAGCTTCAGGAGCGAGATTCGTGTTTTCTTTTCAAAATCAGATATCTCCCAGTAGCGTAAGGGCTTTTGGTGTCAATCTATAGCGTAAGCATTTTAACGGAAAAGTAGCGAACTCACGGCGCTAGTCGGACAAGCTGTGTAGTCTTTTGTGCTATAGAATTTCTCAGCTATTCTAACGATCTCGAACATTTCTCTAATGGAGTGATCAGTCCAAAAAGAAACAGATGATGTGAGTGATTTTTATTCTACATTGACAACAAAACACAAAGAGAAAAAAAAAAAAAAGGAAAAAACACCCGCAGCTCCTCTATCCCAGGCACAAAAAAATTGGTCCTAAAACGTGTTTTTAACGACCAAAAAACGCGTTAAATGTTTCACCTGAAACGCGTTACGGAACGCGTTCTAGAACGTTTAAAAACGCGTATTTTGTACGCTTTAACGCAAAAGTAACGCGTTTCTAAAGTGTTCAAAAGACTCTTTTAACGCGTTTTCAAAAACGCGTTATTCATGTTGTATCATGTCATAGTGAGATTTGACTCCACAGTGTTAAAATGTTTCGAAAAATCCTCAGGAAACTTTGGTAAATCTCAGATCATTATAAATTTTTATAGAAAACATCTTGAGCTCTCCGATGACGTGCTTAGCTCAATATCGACTTTTGACAAATAAATTTATATTTCTGACGGATGGAGGATCTTAAACAACAATTGAACTGGTTTTGTAGAAAAGAAATTGATGTAGATTTTTATCTTTCAGATTTGTTGTTTCATAAGCATATATTTTAGATTGAAGCGGAGCATAGCAGTTTAATTAAAGTGAAAAAAGGTGTTGAATATTTAAAGACAACAAACGAAGTTCAAGATTGTCTATTTTATCGAATCGTACATGGAGAATCAGAAATAAATCAATTATGGTATGCAGATGATTTATGTGCTCTACTTGTTTCTCGATCGCCTGCTGCTCGATTACATTTTTTAATTACACCATTAGAACATATTCGTACTATAAATGAATTAACTAATGATGTTTTCTGAATGCTTACTATTGTATAAAATACTATATCTATAATTTTACATACGATTCACCACAGAATGCCACACCAGGAATTTGATGATGATTGTTCTTCATGATCACTAGGATAAATAGGATCAATCAATATAAAAGAATGTATATAAGAATTCGAGTAATTGTTTTGTTGTAATTGTAATACTATTTCATACACAATTAACCCACCAAATTTATATCCAATTTGACAACAGGGCACCCATGATGAGGGTGTTTTTCTATTTCTTCTCTTAGTACAGAAGTTAATCTTAAGTCCAAAACAAAAATAAAACCAAAATGTAAGAAAAATCGCCATCAGAAATCTTTAAGAAGAAAATTAAATTCTGTACTAAGAGAAGAAATAGATTGATCAGTAGATGATGATCTTCTGTGCTTTTTCTACGACTTAGCGGGAATTTTTTTTCTCGTCTGTCGTTCCGAAATATTTTTTGATTCTTTGACAGAGATTGTACCAGATGTATTAAGTGGTAAACTCTCAGTTTTCGTGCTAGAACCACTCTTCGCGATAGAAAGCACTAAATATTCTTTAGAGCGATAACACAATAAGCATTCATCATTCCGCTGTTTTTTTGTGAATTTTCTCCATCCGGTGTAATGATTTGGTATGTCGAAGAATATTTGAATTAGAAGAATGTATTTGCGGTACAGGCAAAGAAGCATTATTAGCAGTTAACAGAACCTCTGTAGAAATAAGTGTTAGAGCTCGTGCTGCAGTTAGATGAAGTTGAGCAGACGACTGTTGCTGATTCTGTACAACTTTCAGCATCATCGGCAGATTATCACGATTCATTTCCCTCTGTGTTTTATTCATTTCTTTGATTACTTCGATCATCCCTGTGGTTGTAATTCTCGCACTTCGATGACTAACTTTAGAAGTGGTGGATTTCATTGGTTGAACGTGAGAAATAACACTTGATACAGATGACAGTGATTCTGCGCGAGCCCTGCGTGGAATATCTGAAGGATTTCTAGCATCTAGTCGTTGTGTCTACATCGTGAAAAATGCAGAACTTCTTGAACAACTTTATATCGATCAGATTATTGGAAAGATTAAAAATTAAAACAACATGTGCTGATTCGATCTCATGGTCTGATTAGGAAACATTTGATTCAACACAAAATGAACAACGTTGACATCATTATTTTTCCAGACGATCCTAGTTTAAAATTCTTACTTTTTACATAGAAGTATCAGATATTTCTCCTTAGTTTGAAAAGTAAATCTTGATTTTACTTTTTGAGATAACCTTTATAATGCTGTCAAATGCTTATAAATCATTACTACAACAACAATAAAGTCAACATGTGACATTAATATATAACAATCGACATACAGACATACACCATACTTTAACATGTTAAAGGGCAAACAAGAAATAGAGAGAAGTAGAAAAGCATAAATAAATAAATAAATAAATAAAGAGATTGACAGATTAAACACTGTATCTAACCAGTAACGGGAACCTCTGAGTATTTCCATTATCACTTTTTTTCCTTTAAGGATATAGAGGAGTAAATTGCAACGGCATTGTACCGTTACTATTCTGCATATACAGCCTATTCTACTCAATGAATTTTCAAAATTTTTTTAACATTTTTACTCCTCTATATTTGTCTATTTACTTCTGAACAAACGAGCTCTCTGTTACTTAAGAAAGCCGTGATATGCATTAAACAAAGTCTAAAAGTGATATTTTTTCAGGTGGTTCGTCAGAAACAGCCTGTTTTTTTCCAACCAAATTAAACAGAAGCGGAAGAAGTTTTAACTAATTCGTAGCCGAATTCTTGGGCTATTCAAATAAGTATTTGGCATTGAAAGTAAACCAAATTATGTCGACGAGATACTAAAAATACTATGATAACAGACACTTTTCGGTTTTTCTGTGTACTGGCATAAACGTAATTTCTAGCATCTAGTCGTGGTGTCTATATCGTAGAATCGTACTACTAAAGCTAGCTCATTCCATCATTTTTTAAGGATTTCTCACACAAAATATGTTGAAAAATTTGCAAATGACATATTCGGCGCAGAAGGAATCGTATTGTGCTTATCAGTATTGTCAAATCATATGTTCTTGTTCGAAAAACAAAAAAAGACATTGAGAATAGCACACATCTTTTTCAAATATTTTTTTACCACATCGAGCGATCCGTTGTAAATTCATCATTAACATCGAGGTTTCTTTAGGTATCGAAAAAAATGTAATTTAATGTGTTACTCTATATGTTAAGAAAAAGACAACTTTCTCAACTAAAACTCTCCCTGTATTGTGATCTTAGTTTTTGATCACCGAACAGATAAGTACATATTTTTGTGTATTTTGTTGCACTTTTTTTGTAAAGGTTTTAACAATATAAGGATTCTTAAAATCATGTTCATCGCTTTTTCATTTAACATGATCTAGCTATTTAATCGGTCGTTCTTTACGAATTACAAGGTTACAGTTATGTGCAAGGAAAAAATTAATTAGATACATGATGTATATCTATTTGATCTATGCTTTAAGTATTGCACAATTAAAATTACAAAATGTATGTATGCCAAAAATCAATGCAAACAGATATTTTGTGCAGTTGAAACACTCAACAACTAAAGTATTTTGCACTTCTTGTTTTCACAAAATCTCCTTTTTCTTGTTTCTTATAGCATCTTGACTCAAGCGCTTGCACTAGGGTGTGGTTTCTCACCAGACGTCCACGCCCGACTTTCTATAAAAATTTCTGAAAGAGAACAATATCACTTACTAATTTTTTTAAGAGAAATATGTGCTTATATAAATCATGTAAATGAGAGCAGAAGAAATCAAAAGAAGAAAGTTGTTCTGTAGAATTAAAGCAAAAATTTGTGAATAATGTTAAAAGGTACAGAATTTCCAATCTCTGTTCATGATAATCCCTTTCACTTTGTAAGTTACACTTGTTTTTTTTAGCAAGTACTACGTGTCAGAGGTGAGTAGGACACGGGGAAATCCTGTCTCGCGAGACTCTGTTTTTCCTCAGCGGCACTTCGTCGTCGTAGAAGACTTCAGGAGCGAGATTCGTGGGATAGACAAAAAATCGTCCGTCGCCAGATGCATTTTTCCACAAATACGAATTCCGAAGTTGGTCAACAATATAGAGTATGCTTGAAGATATTGTTGAATATAAAACTAAATTTCAGTTATAATTTTCTCATATGGAGTTCTTAAAATAAAAAGCAATGTAATATGTATACACATAAAATCATATCTGTCGAGAGAGTAAAAGAAACGTATAAGGAGCCTTATATATATATACATCTATGTACAATACAAAAAACCCATATCGAAAGTTTTTTTGAAAGAGAATAGGTAAAACAAAACAAAAAAATAGTAAACGTATATACAAAAAAAGCCAATAATGGATCGCTGTGTAAAAAAATAGAAGTACAAAACAAATATACGGCGGGGTCAAATAGTCAAGTAATAAAAAAAGGCACATTAATTGTCGCGACAGAAAGACAGGTCTTTATGCCTACCTAATAACTTAGGGATAGAAAAAAAGAATGTATCAAACGAGAAAAAGATGACTAGAAACAAGAAGACGTTCGCTCGACAGTTCACTAGTATTTTGATAAAATGATATTACAACTAAAAACAACCTGTTTGTAGAAAAATAGTAACAATAAAAAAAAAACAACTATTTACACGGAAATGTGTTTTTGTTTATATCATCATCACTGTAATAAGTATTAGTTAAATCTCAATAGAAAGACAGACACGGGGCAAGAGAAAAACAAGCAAACAATCGATAACAAGGATGATTCGATGTGGTTCTATTTTCTCAAAGAATCGGATTTATCCAAATTTTCGTCGTTATTATCCCACCCATTGTCTTTTATCATATGAACAAGTTCAATAATATATTTTCCTTCTTTGTATTTTTGGCTAGATTCAAAAGCATGCTCCTGAAAATACACAAAACAAATTCATATAGGTCGTCGGTTCTGTCTTGAAAATGTTTCACATGTCAGAAATCAATGAGACATTAAATAATTTATTTTTTCTTTAATGTCGGTCGATACGATCTGTCCCATCGTATGCAATCTAATCAGCTGAATAAAAAAAACGGAAGTTCAATCTATCAATTAAAGATTTGAATATTCATCAACTGTGAACGTGTGAGAGACAGTGAATAAAAATATTTCAGTTAATCTTGTGATTATAATGAGAACAAAACTGAAAAACTTACATATTTCCATCCAAGTAACGTTTTGCAACACTCACAATAAATATCAGCTACTTCATGTAATCCGGTTAACAATACCCGTTCTTCAGCAGCACTTGTATTCACATTAATACTAGAAAATAAAATCTAGCTTTCAAAAATATTTACAAATAGATTAAAAAACACATACACAGAGTTAAATAAATATGCTCGTCCTTGGCTCCCTTGGAACGACTACAACAAAACAAACACAAAAGAAATAGAGAAAGTTCAACAGTTTAACGACATTACTGAAACTCTTACTTTTGATATTAGCTCATCATGATTGGCTAATTGTGCTCGACAATGAACACAGCTATATGTTCGATGAGTTTTTGGTAAATATAACTGGAATAGTTTCCCAAGTGTCTTCGTGCTATGGTTATCTTTAACCATTTTTCGACGAATCTAAAAATAACAATAAAATAATCAGAAATAGGAAAGAATCTAGTTATTATTTTGGCGTGAGTGCTTTCTAATCTCTGGTAAGGTAGTAAAAAACCTTTTTCCGAGACATGGTAAATAGTGCTGCTGTAATTTCATATACTGTTTTTATTTTTAACTGAACGCTCAATATTTACAGAAGAGTCTCTAATAATTTTTGCATATTTTTTTTTCTGCTTTAATATAAGGGACGAACTATCTCGTGTTGACAGTCATAGAGCTACCATTTTCAAAAACAACCGTATTTACAAATTCTGTTTTTCAGATTTTGTTGAGAAATTTTTTGTGCAAAATCTTAAGTATTTTAAGTACTGAAAATGATATTGGTTCTGAACGCAGATGATATAGACATTTCGCACAGATGCATACCGCAATATTGAACATTCTTTATATATAAAATTATCATTTTGATAGTACAGTTCATTTAAAAGAAAAGAAAGTTTCATGGTTAATTAAACAAAGTTTAAATAAAGACAGACGCAGCTACAGTTTTTTATGCTCGATGGCCATGGTCAGTGCACATCTCGTTAAAACACGAATTCAAAGATCTCTGACAAAACTGTTCTGTCTTCATTCAAAAGTAAAGATGCAATTTACCATAGAATGGACCGTTGATAGGTCGAGCGATAAATACAATCAATTTCTTAAAAGCAAGAAACGGTTTGTTGTTTACCAGAGATTCAAAACCACCCAGTCTATAAATCCTGTCTAAATATGACCAAATTCACAATAAAAGTAAGTAACTGACTACCATTTAGATGATTTTCATTTGAAATAAGTTTCCCCTATACAAGTGAGGAATCCATCGTCTTTTTTTCTTGTGTCTCGCATAGGTGGAATTAGTTCGGTTTGAGTTGTTTAAAAATTGGATCGGTTCGATTCGGCTTCAAGCCGAACCGATCCCACCTTTGCCAGCTTCCGTAGAAGGAGAGTATAGTTTTTATTGGATATATAATTAAGCCAAAAGGGGCAAAATTAGCTCCAGAAACGATCAATGATATTGTTTTTAAAAATTTCTTTCAAAAATATAAACGTTCAATAACATTGTTACTATTAAGAAGTAACAATAGAAATAAGAACTTTAGTGCAATTGCGGCTGAAATATCTTTAACTTGGTTTTACATAATTAAGAGTTTATTAAAAAAATAAACTCTTAATTACGTTAAACAAGTTAAGGTTATTTCAACCGCAATTGCACTAAAGTTCTTATAAACGTTCACCTCCTAAAAGAGAATAAGCAACGCTTATTCGATGCTTTTCTTTGTTTTTATTCTTTTGTTCTTGTAGAACAGTACATAGTGGGCAATCACGTGAACATTTGGAAAAATTTCGAAAGTAGATTCAAATACAGCCTTATATACTTTCGGACGTGCTCTGTTTAATGGCATAAAAATAACTATTTTCAAATCTCAGTGATTCATCGGAAAACACTTAGCCAAAAACTAACCTGAAAAACCAATATTTTAAGCAGAAAGTATTTTTTTGTGAAAAATTATAGAAGCTCTAAAGATGTAGTATAAAAGTGTCAAGAAATGTGCTCAAATCTTGACAACAAGATCAAACAAGATTTTATATGATCTTATAAGATCATACGCTTGATCATTTCCCGTCGAAACTCCCCTGCACTTCGTATGTGCTAGCTGAAGTGTGAAATTGAAAAGAGAAAAAAGTTTCAAGTTTTTCAAAGAGAATTATGTTATATATATATTGTATATCGTCGCAAAATTTATGCGGTAGAGATGAATCTCGATCCTACGGTAAGAATTCATATGATCTCGTAAGATAAAATCTTGTGGCAGACATTGTTGACTTCTATATATTTTCTTGCCACAAGGTTATATAAGGTCTTACAAGATCATATGAATTCTTGTCATAAGATCTTACAGGATCTTGTCGCTTCTTATAATCAGATCTCGAAAGATGTTACGATAATAAGTTACAAGATTCCATAAGATCTTACATTATCTTATAACAAGATCTTGTAAGACCATATCGTAAGGTCTTATCACAAGATTTCACAAGAAAACATCAAATCTTGCAAGGTCTTACAAGACGTGGTTCAACTAGGCTAACAATGTTTCCTAATTACTGTGATTACTAAAATGTGAAATCCACACGCATCCATTTCTCAAGCGCGCTCAAAATTAGTGAAAATGTTCTACAAGTTATGCTGAATCAATACAATTAAAACAAATTGGCACAAACGTTTCAGAATCGGTTTTGAACAGGTTTTCCAAAAATCTGTGGTCTTTCAGGTCGAACCTGGTTTTCTCGGCTCAGAAATCCGTTCAAGGAAAAATAACGGCATATTTGGATTCAGCACTTAAAATTACATCGAATACTGTATAAGAACTAGTCTTTCGGTATTTTGGAAGAAAAAACTATGTTGATGAAAACTATGTCGTTTTGGCTCGAAAAAAGTTTTTTTGAAAACCGGTTTTTTCGTTATAAAAAGTCATTCTCCGAATTTGAGACTGCTGTTTCAACGAAGAAAAACCGTTTCTGATCAGAAAAAGCCTCATGTCCACGTGGTATAGCGAAATTGTTCATAGCTGCAGCTGTTTTTGGTGATAACGAATAAGTGTTTGTTTATTTATGTAACTGAAGTGAACACAGTTTAAAAGAGGGAAAAATTTGGGCATGGGAACGAAAACGAGAAAGTGCTCAACCAATAAAGAAAAAGCATTTTTTTGTTTTCCACCCTGAGTTTATTTTTAAAAAAAAATTTATCTGCTCCACTCGGTTCGATATGAGAAAATTTTGGTTCTTTTCAGTCCGGTTTTAAAAAAACACAAACCGCCCCGATATTCCACAGTGAAAATTGTAGAAAAAGTCGATAAGAGTCGAGTCTGGTTCAACCATTTTCTGAGTGCAAAAATAGTTTAGATCTGTGGATCTCTAGCAGTTGGAGTCATCAGGACTCGATTACTTATCTAAGTACCACTGCTTAAAGGTTTGTTCGATGAATGGCAGTTTAGTATGAACTTTTGCCAGTAAACGAGTAGGATGAGAAAATAGATTTAAATGCATTTTTTGTGAGACTGATATTATTAAAAAGAGTAATTAATAGGTAAATTAAACGCCAGTGTAGAAAACTTAAAACTACTAAAAATCACCAGATCAATTTTTGTCTGAATTAATTAATTTTTCAATCTAGATGTGAAAAAATATTTTTATACTTAATATATTAAACTTTGTTTGGCTTTTGCACTTTGATTCTTACACAAATTTACTTTGACAATTGTGGAAAAAAAGAGCGCGGAGTGTGCGTTCAAAAAGAAAAAAACAGAAAAAAGAAAATCTACCTAATCAGTGTTTGCGATCTAGCAACAAAAAAAACTTTTTCTTTCACACAAAAAAAGACGAATGTTTGTCCTTGTGGGTAAAAAAACGAAGATGGAAAGAAAATAATATATCTATCAACAGCGTACGCACATCATGGCATTAGGAAAAATGTCTTCTTTTTATTATTTTTATAGAAAAAATTGCCACCGTCACCACGATTTTTAATATGTCGAAACCCTATATTTTGATCTGTGTGAGCGTATATATTGTGGGAGAGACATATGTATGTGTGTACGATATATGGGAGTCTCGTTCTTGGAAAAAGAAAAGCTGTGCAATGACAAATATGTCTGAATGAAGACTTATGTTTTCAATGACAATCATATACAGAGAGAAAGAAAAAAGAAAAGAAAGTTTGTTTGTTTATTTGAGGTAATAATTTACAAAAGCTGGAGAAAAAAAAACGACCGATGTAATAAGCTTTGTCTAAATTGAAGATAATGCAAATCATGAAAGATGTGCTAATTCAAACCTAATTAATGCGAAACAATTAATTGTATTTTTCATAATTACAGGATGATTTTAGTAGTTTTCAATTCAATTAGTAGATACATACACGATACTAATCAAATATGAGTCACAGACTGTTCAAAATCAAATTTTTTTTTTTAAAGTCTGATTGAGTCTCTATGTCTTTCTATCCAAAGAAAAGTCGTCGTAATATTGCTGGAATTAATGTTAAATGTTATCATTCATTTCTTTTCAACTATTCTACATTTTTGAACAAAAATTAACTTAATCATCACTTATATTTTCAGTAGAACTTTCTTAGATTTTCTAAGTGAACAAATCCAATCAATACAGATCAACATTTCTATATATGTTGTTAATAGCAAATAAATAAATATCCACGAGTCTATTGAGCATTATAATAGAAAACAGAACCCTTTGTTTTCTTCGTTTAATCTGTGCATAATATACGTCCCTATTTTTATTTCCAAGTTAAGAATATGTCGTAATTAGATGATTAAGAAGACGTATTTTGGCAATCTGGTCACCTAGTTCTAGGCATTGTTTGTCGCTTGATAAATTCCATTACTTGTTTTTTTTCTTTATATTTTTCACTTAAAATATGTTGTACTGAATACCGTCATTTTCTTGACAACTTTTTTTCTGTTGATAGATTACAATACATTCTCTTTCCCACCTATATAGTGTGTCTCATGAGAACAATGTACTCTTATTATTCTATTTGTGTACAATCTTATCATCATCATCTTTTGTCTGTATATCATTTCAAATCTAAAACTTTATGAAAGGTATAGATGTGTATATTTATGTGTTAGTTTGTATATCATAATAAATAATGATCAATCATTAAATAATTGAACAAAAAAAAAATAGATCGACCGTAACTGAATATAATTGAGTGTTGTCTTCGTGTTTATCACGTAATCACAATGATTTGACAGATGATGATCACAATATGCCGATAGTTAACATCAAATAAGTGGAAACGTGTTCAAATTACGACCGATGTAATAATAATAATACAAATCAAACAAAAAATAAGAGTACTTGCGCAATCTAATAGACACAGATGTGTATGTAAATAATAAAAATAATAAGATTTTTCTTCTTTAATATTTATCTAAGCTACAGATCCT